CGACATACTAAATCGTTCTTCACTTACCACGTTGTAATGCGAAAAATGCAAACAGAAGATTACATCATTTTGAATACGATTATCAACTGTTCTTAAAATATTTACATTGATAATAAAAAAAAAAAAAGAAAGGTTTCGTACAAACGATAATCCATTTTCCCTCTATTTTCGGTAAACGTAGTTAGTTTAACGTACCATACGAACGTTGAGCGGCCTAATAACGTGTATCGTGATTTATTTTACGTACATTATAAAATATAAATGCTTACATTATAAACAGGTCGACGTACTTCGCGTGAGACGAAAACGTGTTTTAGGCTCATTAATCGTTTGGGGTTTATCATTTTATTGGTTACCTCGAAACCAGCTAATATTTATTTTGTATACTTTATAGCAATAATTTAAATACAAACTCGATAAAAAACCTTTTCGTAAGAATTAAATCCGACTATGAGTTTATTTGATATCCGTACGTATACTATGTGTATGGACGATGACGGTAAAATTCGACTCCCGTTCAATACACATTTACCTAAATTAACTTAATGTCTGTTAGCAACTGTCTATCACTACAGATACCTAGATATAGTTATTAACTGCTTATCCGTTATTTCGTTGAAAATTTTATATTATTATACACATTTTTCAAGCATTCTAATAAAGTCACTTTAAATTTGCTCATAAATTCAGTTGCGTTACGCGGTATAAGAATTTGACGGCCAAATACCATTCCACTCTATTCATAGCTCATACAGTATACCGATTGCAGCGGGTGATTGATCCATCACATCCGTCGGACATGGGATCGAGGTTATTTTTCACCAAGTATATTTAACGAACCATAGGAATCGCATGCTACCAACAAAGTCTATAACTCTTTTCGGAGGACTCCACAACACATTATTATTATTATTATTATGTTCACGACTTGAACGACAATGGTAAAATGTGAGTATTATGACCGCAAAAGACTATCGCCGTGTTACAACATCTAATGCTAAACTGAAGTTTCGCGGTCTCACAAAATACATACCGACACGACTCAGCCAAAATAATGTGTTATGGTAATAGTGTCTAATAGTATCTATTTGGAAAAGAAAAAAATAGGTACCTTATAGTTATTATTTATTTATTTTTTTTTTATTTTTTTTTTTGTTATTTGTTTCTATGTTATTGATTTGTATTATCACAATATAATATAAATATAAAATTAACACAATTGATTAATAATTAATATTCACATCACATCTTCATCATAGTAATTTAAAGTTGTATAATTTTATCATACGATCTTGTAGTATTCACCACCCATAAAATGATTTTTTTTCCAAAAAAAAATATCATATTCTCTAAGTAGCAATAAAATAGATCGCTGAAATTAATTTAACGAAATATAAACATACGTGAATCAATTGAGTTTTACTTGGTACATAGGAACATTTAATTATATAATATTATGTCTGTTCAATACCCGTAATTTTCATTTTTTTTTTTCCTAGGAACGATTTAAAATAATTATTAAACCATTTCTTAACAAACTATAAGAATTTTAAAAAGATACTGAGGTTCTAAAATCTAATATCGCATCGGTTATTTTATTTATTTATAAAGTAAAAACAAAAATAAATATATATATATATATATATATATATATATAAAACAATGATAGGAATTTCAGCAAAATATTACAGCATATTATTTATTTAAAAACCGATGTTGGAACGTTGCTTTATTTATGTCAATAAAATAAAGTAAATTAATAAGCTGTCAGTTTTGTATTTCTATGAACCTTCAAAATCCATTTACATTAAACTGGGACAATATCTCTAACTGTTCTTTAAAATTCAATTTTTAAGAATTCAAAGTTATGAACAGATGTTAGATTAATTGAATCTCAGACAAGATGTTAACACTTCTAAATCTGTTTATAAGCTGAATTCCCATGAAAGTCATCAATCATATTATGTCTATAGAAAATCTTTATTTAATATGGCTTGTGCATCGGATACATGTTAACGTGACCCGTTAAAGCTGAACTAAATTTAATTGCTAAAATATTATTAAATTTACTAGCATATATCAATGGATGTATAATAAAAATCATTTTGACTGAAAATCAATTCGAAAACATAAGAATAAAAATGTTTAGATACGTATTCTTTTAATTTTTACACTTTTTATAATTATTAATATGAGAATAGGTAAAATTTGATTTTCTGAAATTTAATAAATATAATATAACTGTAAAATAAAATAAAAACAAAACAAAACAGATTTTTACATTCCTCTTAAATTTTACTTATCTTAGTAGCATACATATTTGTATGTAACTCATATTTGTTTTCAAAAAATATAATGTATACCTAATGTATTTTTTATTTGAAAATAATGTTATTATACGTGTATATTACATGATGATACATTGAATTTTACTTGCATAAAATTCACCACGAGTTATAAGATAATATTATTATAACACAGCTTTCATAAAAATAGAATCATGAGGTGGACTTTCCAAGCATTTCGAGCTCAGTGATGAGTGTACATGTATTTTGATAATACAAGTAACAGGCACAGATTAATACTTTTAAGAAACTTAAAGAATGTTTGTAAAGTTCTATTAATATATGTATAGTAAACCAGTAAACATTTTAACAAATTTTATTTATATATTTATTTTGCTTATTTAATATAATTAACACCGTACGCCTTTAAAAAATAATTTAATGAAATGACATGCATGATATAATTTATAGGAGATAACGAAATAAAGTTTAAAAAATGAAATAAAGTAAATTAATAAGTTTTAGGTAAAAATATTCAAGTAGGTAGTTAATTATAAGTATAAAAAAAAAACATATATAAATTAACAAATATTAAAAAAATATATCAATTGAAAATATTATAGGCATGCCAAAGTATAAAAACTACGAGATTTAAATAAATCATAATTACGTATTATTTTAATCATTCATAGAAAAATAAAAGTTCACAACAGATAAAAAATATCGATATTTATTGTGGTGCTATGACGTATCCAAATACTTTATCTTGGGGCATCAATTTGACTCCCAATAATTCCTAAGATAAATTTATTATTATATTTCTTACACCATTCATCTAGAATATTAAGTTTAAGTATGTTGCTTATAGGACTATAAACGTGTATGGGGTGAGAAATCTTAAAGTAGGTAGTAACTTACAAAAGACAAAATAGTTTTGTACGAGTACTCAATAATATTTTATTGTTTCAGTGGTAATATAAAGAAATCAAACTACATATTCAAGAACCACGAGAATTGAAGCTTTATAAGCGAATGGAAATTTGTAATTTTTTGTTAAATGAAACCCAGAACACGTAGAAATTATTCGTCAACGATAACTCATATGGGGGCCAAAACCGAGAAATATAGCAAGTAAAAGATCTCCAAGACTTGAATCTGAACAAAAAAATTAATTAGTTGAATAGGTAAGCCGTTTAGACTGTAGTTGTACATATATTTCACCTGTATTTGATAAAAAGATATAACTTTACATTAAATTATATTAGGATTTAAACTTAAAGTATTACACCAGATAGCAAAACTATGAAAGTAACACAATATTCACAATATTCACGTGAAGATATTATCTACTAATAATTTTAAAGTTATGAACAAAAAAGAGGAAACGATATGGAGAGACGATATAAGACATAGTATTAACCCTTCGTTAGTGTGTAGACGTTTTTTTTACATCTTTAGTGTGTCGGATTTTATTACCCCCCCCCCCCCCAAAAAAAAAAAAAAAAATTTAAAATCACATAAAATCAATATTCATTTTTATTAAAATTGAATTGAATAACAAATTGTTAACATATAAATAATATCATATAAAAAAAAAATTACAATTTTCATTAACATTTTACAAGGAAAATTAATTTTACTTTTAACTATACAACTTGTTTGCATCATAGGGTAATATATAAAAAAGGATTTCATGAAGGTAAAAATTTGATCTAGTTCAATCCCTAGTAGTATCATGAAAAATTGTATAAAATGGGGTTTAATATACCCCAACACACTGATGAAGAATTAATTAAAATTTTAAACAGTAATAATAGATCTACCTACTTTTTTTGTTTATAAAAATAAAATAGTTTTGTTTGAGCTTAAATTTTTTATTGTTTAAGTATTAAATAACTTTTTGTCGAACAGTTACCATGTGTACATATGTGATCGCCGTTTCATTATCATTGATCATTTTTGCTTTTCATATTTTTTCCGTCAAAACGCATACCAAAATATCGAATGAAGTACCAACTATACGTGTGTATACTTAACACAATTCTATGAAACCAAACGTTTTTCATATTGTTGAAATATCAACATATGAACAAGCCGGTTAGTAAAACTACATATTATCATAGTCTGCATTATCCATAATATCACAAATCACTCCATGTTTCTCCCTAACCCTTCCTATTCATATACATTCTTTGACAAATTAAAAATGAAGCACAAAAACATTATGGCAACCAGGCCCGTATTGGCTACAATTTGAGAGAACGGAAACAAAAATAAGAGGTTGATAAAAATAATATTTTTATAATAATTGTAGGCACTAACAAAAAAAAAAAAAACAAACAGAACATTTATAATTTTGAGTATTTTCAATCATTATTTTGAATATAAATTATATATCTAAAAATAAAACAGGGACGTAATTTATAGTTCAAAAGATTATTATTTAAAAACTAACTCTATACTTCTATAAATCTATAGCGTCTTAAAAACAATTTAATTTTTATAGTACCCTAATGATTTTTAAAAGTTAATTTATTTTTTCGTTCATAAAATATTTTTAATAATTCTACATATATTCGTCAAGTGCATTTCAATTTAATCACTTAAAAGTTTAAAATACTTAACTATTTAAATTATAACAAATTATATTATCGATCATCCTAAATATTGTTGTTGATTAATCTATTCTATATTTTTACATTAAAAACTACATACCTAAAAGCCAAATGTTGAAAATATTGAAAATTTGAGTGAACTGTGCAGTGGTCAACGAGTTGTATATACTGTAAAAGATAAAATATAATATAATAAAATGGGGTACTAAATTATTAACGACTACGATAATTGACGAAACACTTTCGTTATCTTAAAGCTATTTATTTTTAGAAGCTGTCCATTAATGTACGCGGCAGCGGGAATGATTACAAAAATTAATGTCAAATATGATACGATGTATATACAATAAAAATAGTTTTCTTCAAAATAAATTAGAAATTTGATACACTTCCCTTCCCCCCCTCTCTCTCGCTCTCACTCTCAAAATATAAATATTTGTGTTCCAATTATTAAATTATAATAAATATCAAGTTTAATTTTAACAATATCCAATATAATAAATATTAATTTCTAAATTTCAATTTTTCTTGAGAGGCCGAAATAATGTTTATATTTTCGCGGAGTGCACCGAAAAGTCTCTGGGTATCCTTGCAGTGAGTCAGTACAGGCCTGATGAAAACACATCTAATATTACATGGATAAAATTCATCTTAACAATCTACTTAAACATTTAAAAATATTATTCCAAGATGGTTTAATCTACAAAATCATAAAAAAAACTGTTAAATGAAAACCCGGCATAACGTGGGCTAAGAAAAACAGAACTTTTAAAACCCACTTTACTGAAGTTCTTAAGCCACGTCATAACAAGATTATTAACTCAGTATTCTGCAATGAAATGAAATTTTTTTTTATTATCCCCATTGCAAATGACTCTATATTCAAAAGAATTATCTGTAGCTTAATTGCAACATTGTATCTCTATATTTAGAAAAAAAAAATTCTTGGATTTATCAAACAACATACGGAATAGCCGTATGCCACTCAAGAAAAGCTATAATACTCTTCACCAAAAAAAAAAAAAAATAATAATAATAATTTAGATAATCTTAATGTTATTATTCAATCAGCTAATAACTTTTAGCTTTACTGGAAATTCTCAACTATAATAGTCACACCAAGATTTGGGAAAATTCCCAATCATCCCTCATTATACAAAAAAAATAAGCATGCTACTTTCTTTTTTTTTTAAAGTACTCAAGAAATTTGTTTTCAAACGTCATTGAATTTATTGTCCAATAACAAGCAGCTCTAAGATTTTGTCTAACATTTAATTTGACTTTCGCAACTGCCACTCCATAGTTAACCATATGAACTGTATAACAAACACAGTTACCTCAGCCTACAGAAAAAAAACAAATCTATAGAGGAGTTTTTCTTAACGTAGCGCAGGCATTTGGCAGAATACAATACATGGATCAAAAACAATCTTACTCCATCGTTTTTACTATTTTTTTTTTTTTTAAATTCTACTTTGACGAAGGTCAACTTCTTATCCAATCCCACTTTAGACTAACTTCGATCTCCGTTTTACAAATAAGCGTTCCTCAAGAGACAACAACTGACTCTATATTGTTTAACATCTAAATTGCAGATCAACTTACTTCTCCCAACACTTTTGTCGTTGAATGCGCTGGCAATAAAGCAATTCTTTCAGTTAATGAAAATCCATTCACCGAATATAACAAACTACAGTCTTACTTTTCTTGAATGGAAACTTAGTGTCAAAATTGTTAAGTTAAAATAAATCCAGACAAATAACTTTTATTCTCAAACTCAAAATTTATCTCTAAATTACATTCAATAATATTAAAATCCAACTTCATTAAGTATAAAAAACATGGAAATGCATTTTTACAAAAAGTTGAATTGGACCCATCATGTTTATTATATAAAATCTAAGCTAAGCTCCCGACTATATATCCTTGAATATTTCCTTATTGCAAAATAAAAACGTTAAACCCACACTAAACAAATTCCTTATGAAACTTATTTAGTACTAAATATGAGACTCTACTAAAAAATCATATTAAATAAAATATCAATAACCAAAAACAAAATATTTCATTAAAAACCAAAACCTCCTTCTATGGATTTAATAAAACATTGTACATAGATTTTAAAATCAACACAGTAACTAAAACTACTATTAAATCATATTTACGTTACCAAATCTCACTTTTCAACTATCCAAACATTTTAGTATAAACCTATCTAAATCAATGTCTGTAATCTACCCCAAAGATTAAAAAATATAGTTTTATGACTCTTATTTGAGTCAATAGTTTCAATCTTGAAGTGTTGTCAGTGGGTTACTTCTATCAAATCTTCTGTAAAATCCTTCTTATAATCAATTAAGATTATTATACACAGTGTTTGTATATTGTTTAATTACAAATAAAAGTCAAAAAATAAATAAATATTACATCATGTACATCATATTATATTGTAAAAAGCATAACAATAATGCTTCTGTTAATGGCTATAATCATTTTTGCACCATCCCCTGTCTATTACAGATGGGATTGTAATTTGAATAGCCATATACTCACGTTGGGTAAAAGTTTCTCATTTTTTTTTTTTTTTTTTTTTTTTTTTTTTTTGACCTTTATATTAAATTTTTTATTTTTAAAAAGTGTATGAAAAACTCAATAATTAAAAAGAATGTGATTTATAATAATTATTGTCATATTTTAGTATTTATTAGAAATTCGAAATATTTATCAATTAAATTCGAAATGCATATTATGTTACTCTAAATTAAGTACTTAACAGTTAATGGAAATGCACTAGTGCATTAATTATATCAAAAATGGTAATGTGTTATGCCATTAATTGAAAAATCGATAAATTTTACCATAGTTGTAAATGCGATGTACGTTGTTAACTAGAAAATAGATCAAATAAATCTATGCTTTAAACATACATTTCAAATATCATTGAATGCAAAGATATATTATTAATATTGAAATAAAGACTTATGTGTACCATTACTACCAATTGTACCAATTTTACTCGTCAAAAGAATAGTAAATATTTCTTATATTTTTGAGCTGTAATATTATTTTCTTATAATTGTATAAAACATCAACTGTTACATATAACATATTATGAAATTTGTTTAAGGAAATTCGAATCGATACCAAGTAAAAATTAATAAAACCGGGTTTAACTTAGAACTAGTATTGAAAATAAAAATAAAAAAAAATAACAATATGATATTTTTATTATAAATATAATTTATATCTATTAAAATTTTAAAATTCCATATATTTATATTCGTTTGTAAAAAAAAAATATTAAAAAAAGCTGTTTTAAAATCTAAGTAGGTATACGTGTAAATTCTATTAATTATACACTTTAACACTATCATTATTTATTTAACTTCGTATGATAGGTAGTATAAGGAAAATATATAGAACTTATACAAAAATATAATATACTAAATTGAAAAATGAAAATTGATTAAATTATAACGATTCCCTAGTAATTTCTGAACCTTAACTATTAATTTTATCATTATCAATGTTTGCATTGTATTATCACTAATTTATATTTATCGTCTTTTTGTAATTAAATGTTTATTTGGTATGATTGAATATACACCATGATATTATTACACTGCCGTTATCTTTATAAACTATTGCTGTAATCATTAAATCGTACAAGTAGCTTCCTATTTATTGTGTTTATATCATATATATATAATGTTATCAAGTAATAATTTATTTAAAAAGTTGAAAACACTCGTTTAGTTAAAATATCGCCCTGCCGTCGTCACCTATCTAAATTCATTGCACATTAAAAGTTCATGGATAAATTGTGTTAAAAGCAATTTATTATATTTTAGTTATTATTTTTAATAGCATAGTTATTATTATTATTATTATTCTCAATTTATGTGTTTAGGTGATCAGCAAAGCGCTTTTACGAGCATTATGATCAATTATAAATTTTTATAATTTAATTTAATGAATTGTTATATTTTATCTAAATCTTCATGGTAATAATAAATATCATGATAATTGCATAATAATTTATGAAAAATCTAAAAGAAATATTGGATTTTCGCAATTCTATCATAATTTTACCGGACGTTTTGCAGTATACTACTTTGGAGTGGCACTTTCATAGTATAAAGTAACCATAAGCCAATCAAATACCTATGTAAATAATCTCATCATTATTAAATACACTTTTTTGATAGCGTAGGTAAGAATCTAAAACTTGAAGCAAAAATAAGGTTATTTCTAAATTTTAAGGAACAAGTTATCATAAAACTTAGTCAAGCGTTCACGAGGGTTTTAAAAGAAAAAAAAACTATAATCTTGAATTACTATTTGGAGTAATGGGATCAGCTTCCTTAAGATTTGTTTTACAATATATATCATATATATGAATATTATATTATACCACAATGACTGTAATACAACAGAAACCACATATAAAAGTATTTATTTATAGTAACGTGGGTATGTGTAAATGTATAAAAAAAATTTGGTAGTTGGTATATAGAAGAATCGACAATAGGTATGAGTGAGTGCAACTGAGAGACAATGCGTATGTATGAGAAAGAGAGAGAAGGGTAAAGAAAAAGTGTGAGGGAAAGAAGTCGGGGATGAGAATACGTGAGAATAAAGAAATAGAGGTAGGTAAAAAAAAAAGGTTCTTTTATAATACGAAGGCACAACTGTGCCATGTTCGTGAATGTGCTCAATTTATCGCGGGAAAAAAATTTAACCGATTGCACGCGCATAAAAAAAAAAAAAAAATTAACCCCTAGAACCGAGTCTTGTTATTAAACGGGCCTTGTATTGTTATGTATTGCGTGTTGATTTATTCTCCTATTTACAAAATATGATGGACATGGCAAATTTTTATTCTGGTGATTCTTTACTATACCTATACCTATAGCTTATCTAGAAAAACGATTTACATTCATAAGACTGAAGTTTACGTTAATTTATTAAACGAACTAGCTTCTTAATTATTGCTAAAAACATCAATAAATCAATTTATGTAATAAAATGAAGATTTATTAACGAATTCTCAAATGAAATATAAATGTGTAAAAGTAAGTTATAGCAATGAATGTAAAAAAAAAAAAAAATAATTACATTTTAAACTTAATATAATTATAATATACTATTAATATTCTCGATATCTT